GGATAGCTTCCTCCAAGAGAGTAGCAGGCAAAGCTCCCCGCTGAATCCCCACTGGCAGCACCCCAGCTGGCAGAGTGGAAGAGGACAGCCTCCAAGGCAGTTCTGGCACACTTTAGAGTGTCTAGCTTTCGGTGTCCTGCCTCAAGTGATGGCATTTCAAGAAGAGGAAGAACAGGGCAATCCCTTTAATACTCCTCCAGCCTCTGACCATTTTAACCTTAGGGGTTTTCCTGAGTCTGTTGTGATTTGCCTAAGTAACCTACAACGGATTTCTTCTTCAGGTGCTTTTCCAGTCTCTCTGTGGACTCATGTACTATGTGCATCCACAATACTCTTGGTAAGCTGTTCCCCATTTATACTATGTTTTATGAAAAGAAATACTAACTTTTCCTGGTTTTGATCCTGGATCTCGTTAGCTTAATGTGTTATTCCTCAGTTCTTGCTTGGGCAAAGGCAGTGAAACTCATCCTGATCAGCTTCTGCATTCCACTGAGGATTTTGCAGAACTCTTTCCTACCTACTTTACATTGTCTGTTTTCTGAGCTGGAGAGTCCTAAACTATTTAACTCGTAAGGTTTTTAGATTCATACCTTAGATCACCGCACATGCCCTTCTTTTGAGCTTTTCCAGTCCTTGTAAATCCTGTCTATGATGAAAAGACCAGAAGTGCACGAAGTAAACAAGATGTGGGTGAACCAATGCTGAGCTGCTGCATGGAATTATGTGTTATGATTTATAGTGGTCGCTGCTGACAAACATAATTTTGTTCTCAAAGCTTTGACTGAATTTCCCCATGTGCATTACTTCACAGTTACCAATGCTCCATTTCACCTTCAAATGTTCAAATTATCATGCGCACCTTTCAGCAGTTATCATATGCCCTAAGCATCTCTTTAGAGAAACATCACTCTAGTGGGCATCAATATAGACCCCATGTTATTTTAAACACTTTGAATGGGAAAAAACAACAAAAAATGGTCAAATTACTTTAGGATGATCTCTGGCCCTCTTTCGTGTGTCATCACAGATGTAGCCAAACAGACATAGAATTCCAAATGAAGCATAGTCAATCTAGGGCACTACCAGCCCTGACTGTTCCTGTCCACCCTGCTGAGGTTTCCCCACCCAGCCTACAGCCCAGGACCCCATGTGAGCTCCCCAGGGTGCCTCCCATCCTGCCCAGAGCCTGGGACCCCACGTCATCCCCCACCAGGTAGGGTCCATGTCCTGCTCTGGCCTTGTCCCTTCCCCATGGAAGTGCCCAATGCCTAGGGCTGGGGCTACTCTGGTGCTCCCTGGCTGCCCTGCTCCTGGCTGGGGGTGGGAAGGGCCCTGGCTGCCAGACCCTTTGAGAAATGCATTGAAATTTAAAAACATATATATTTAGTACACCTATTAGGCAAGCAGAAGGGTTCCAAGTCAGCCAGTATCTCATTCTAGTATTGTTGCTTTTAGAATTTGGCTGTTTGAAGGGGGTATGCCAATGTCAGCTTCTAAAATATGTATTAAAAAAGTGAAAGAAACAGGTATGCAAAGAAAATAATTAATCTTCAAAATGCTTGAGAAAAAATAAGAGAACTAAAATGATACAGAAATCTAAAACCAGCACAATAGCAATGGAAAATGGATTTGGTTTATTTCATAACTTGGTTTCCCTGTCCTCTTCTAAGCTTGGAAATTATTCACACATGGCAGGGGCAAACAAAAGAAAGAATCTTAAATTGCATCCTTTTTATTTTTCTTTAATTATTATTATTGTATGTACAAAAAAATCCAAGCACATTCATATATTCAATTGCTAAACAATAATTACAAAAAAAAAACAAACACAAAAAAACAAAATCCAAAACTAAAATATCTTCTCAGTAAGATTCCATTAACCACAGAGGCAATCAAGTAGGCATGTTGCCCAGAACCCATATGGCCCAAACCAAAGGCAATATTGACTTGAACATCTCAATATCCTCTCAGATGGCAATATACATTTATGTAAATATCTTTGAATATATATATATATATATATATGTTTGTCAACTCACACCCACTGACCAAGCAGGGTGGAAGTCTTGCTACCTTATGGTGCCCCAGAAGGACATGTTTCCAGTGTCAAAGAACAGTATGTTGGGCCACTTTTCAAAGTCATTGCTTCTCTCTAAAAAAGCCCTTCCACAGCTTCACAGTATACACCATCGGGCTTAAAAGATTGCAGTCAGTGGGTTCATTTCTGTGTTCCTTTCTCAAGGAATAATCCTGCTGACCCAAGTAGGAATTTTGCCTAATCTGAGCTAACTAGAGGCCAGTTAGTAAAATTGCATGAAGAGGTACTTGGATGAGGCATCCTTCCTGTTCCTTTTTAGATAATGTCAGAAGACGGTTGAAGGGCTATGAAAAGCTGTGTGAAGCTGGAGAAAAGAACATTTTTCAGTCAGTTGTAAGCATCTTTTCTTTCCTGCAAAAGGAGCAATTCAGTATTTTTCAAAATACAGCAGTTGATGTCCAAAGTGTAAAGTTTTTGCCCTTTTGTCTCTATTTGGTGTCAGTTACAGTTCAGGCACATTGCAGCACATTTTAGGAGTCACTAAGCGCATAAAGATCAGGTTCAAGATAAAACAGAATGAAGATCTGCATTAGAGCTAGGAAAAGTAAAGGTTTTCATTGTAAAACTACTTGCACATCAAAAAAAAAGGTTGAGAGATTTCAGTATAACCTCCAAATAAAATTCTGCCACAGCAAAATGCTGAAAAAAGTTTTGGTAGTGAGAAAGCTGAAATACTGTGCAAGTGGATGGTAAAGGGACTTTAACAGAAATGTGCAACCATGCATTGCTAATTTATTACTTGAGTTTCTAAAACATAAGTAAGCTGAATTTCTGCCTGATGGATGTGGGGCAGCTTAGGAGGAGCCACCGTCCTTTCTTCAGAGGTCCTGGCGCAAGCAGGCATTTCGAAGCACGTGCTAGAGCTGACATAGAAGCTCAGAGTCCCGGATTCACACAGAAACATATTCACTGGGCTCCTCTCTTCCAGTACATGTAAAGAGATTTGAAGTTGCAAACCCATCTTGCTGCGCATACACACACCCAGCACACAGGCTGGTAGTGCAGGGTAGCTTCCAGGCAACTTGACGGGAAGTTTTGGATGGGTCGCGTATCACTAAGGTTGGCCTTGTGGGCAGAAAATGCGCAGATCAATTAAAACTAACACTGTGAAATACCACAAAACACTACAGATGGCTTCTGAGTGGTAGTGCTAGGTCCAGTCATTTTTTTTCCTTATACAATAACTGATGATACTTTAGCAGAAGATAGGAAATACAAATATTTCAATTGATTTCATGGTTATCCAGTCTCAAATGTAAAGAAATTAATGGTTATTAGGGGTGGAAAATTGTGTTTTTATTACAAAGGAAAAAGACACATTTTAAGAACTTCAGGTATTGTATTTACTTAGGCACAGGAGCTCAGAAATCAGTATAGGTTTGCCCAAGGCAGACCTAGCACTTGGTGTCTGAACCAACTATCCAGTTTGGTTGAAGACAGCCTCCTACTAAGTGTTGGTTGGAACTGCAGCATAGTAAAGGGATACCATATAGCTTTGTCTGGCTTGTAAGGGGAAACATCTCTGGCTTTGTCAGATGTTTTTTGGCTCTTCACTGTAAATGAGAGCCAAAGGCAGGTAAAAAGTTGTAAATACTACAGGGAAAACCTTGCCCTTTCTCTGTCCGCAGTACATATTTTGTGTCTTTCCAAGCACACAGGCAGCTGTTGAGATGTGAGAAGAATTAAAGCACAACACAGTATACGCAAACAAGCTGGAGAAGAGTATATCAGAAAGGAGCCCCAAACATAGGACTGCAAAATCACCCTGCCATAACCTGTTTCTAGAGTATTCACTGCATCTCCCATTTTCAAGCCTCGCTTTCTTTTTTCCCCTTACTTTCTATGTGCTTGCTTGAAAGAAGTACATTTCTGACACCTGGCTGTAGGGACAGATTTTAGTTTGGTTTCAGCTGGCATAGAATCACTGCAGTCTGTGGTTGAATTCTCACATACCCAGCTGAAAGTCAGGTTAATAATCCACACCATCACCATATGGAAGATAAACTCACTGTCTGTGCACTATATAAAGCTAAATTATCTGCTGAGGGGGATGATGCTTCTGCATATAGCCCATAGTGACCTAGTGAAAATTACTTGATACTGATCACAAACGTGCAGCAGCATTATTGCTGTAGTAGGTCAATGTGAGAAAATCTGTTCTCTTAAATTAACTGTCCTAAGAAATTAATAACTTCAAGACATGAAATTATGATCCACTCAGCAGCTGAACTAGTTTCAAACATTATAAGTTCTAGCTTTCCTTTCATTGTATGAGATATTTCCTTCATAAAATTGAAATAAATAATAGCTCAACCTAACCTGTTCAAAGGTTAGCGTGGTTTGTTTCTGATAAACAGTTGGGTGAGTGTTGTGGTGAATTCACAGTGGCTACATATTACATGTTAATGGTAAAATGACAAGCTATTTTCACACATTTTTAATAGAAATACAAGAGAGAAAGCAATACATTAAACCCCCCCCTCAAAACCAGCAACAGAAACCCAGCACATTGCTTAGAAAAATAACTCCCCTACCTCTAATCCAACTTCAGTGTATGCTCTAATTCATATGCAGTAATATTTCACATTCATTGAGAATCACAAGCCTTTGGTTAAACACTGAGGTCACACAACCTGAAAGTCATTTTTTTCTAAACCTATCCCTTGGTTTCATGCAGTAGGACTAGTTCCAGGCTAACCCCTAATTCTGAATGTTGGGTTTGCTTCAGTGCCTTCAATGCTTCCATTTCTTACCAGAAAATATGGTAGGAAGATCCACACTGTAGGTATGGCTTGAGTTCTCTGACTAGAGCAAGGTATTCTGAGGATAACCATTCAAAAAGAAATGTTTTCTGTGTCTACTCATGGATCTCACAGGTGCCTTTCTTCTGGGATGAATAAGGTTAAAAAACACTTTCCTGCCTTTGCAAATAGACCTTTACTCCCTCTAATCCATCCATAGGTCCACTTGACATCGACCTGGCTGACATGGTCCTGCCAGAGAATAAGCTTTCTCTTCTGTTTTCCAGACTGTCACTGAGCAGTACCTTAGGGCGAAACACTTGCATGAATTTCTGGTAAAATTCTTTGGATGCAAAATAATAAATGAAGGGATCTATGCAGTTGTTGAGGCAACTGAGACACAAGGTGAGCTTGTATGCAGGGTACAAACTTCTGTCATAAAATAGGCGGCTAATCATATGCGCGAGTAGGATAAAGTTGTTGGGGGCGAAGCAAGTGACGAACACCAGAAGGACTATCATTGCCAGGTAAATGGATCTTGTCTTCTGCCTGTTACCATACCTGTTCGATGTCTGAATAAGCTTCCGAATGATGCCAATATAGCATACAACTGTCACAACAAAAGGGATCAGGAAGAGCACAACAAAGAGTGTGAGGAGAAAGGCTACCCAGGCTCCAAAGTTGGGCAGCATATCCCATTTGAGGACATCAAAACAGGTTATAATCTCCAGTTCTTTCACTTCATAGGTCAGATCTGTGCTTTCTAGTGGGTAGAAGGCTAGGAGCAAGAAAAGCCACATACCTAGGCAGGCAGCCAGGGCATATCTTTTTCTTCTCCACTTGATCAACTTCATGGGATATACCACGCCCATGTACCGCTCGATGCTGATGCAGGTCATGGTCAGGATGGAAGAATACATGTTGGAGTAGAACATCACGGTTACGAGGCTGCAAAGGGTCTCGCCAAATCTCCAGTGATTGCTTTGGATGTGATAAGAAATCTGGAAGGGAAAGCAGCTGGCCAGCATGAGATCCGTGATGCTCAGGTTGATCATGAAGATAACAGAAGGTGTTTTGGGTTTGATGTGCCAGCAGAGCACCCAAAGGGAGAACAAGTTGCCAGGGATACTGATCATAGCCACCAGTGTATACACAACTGGGAGGGTAATGGAGATAGCTTTATTCTGAAGCATTGCCAGTGTTTCAGCGTCCAGGTGGGATCCGTTTTTAACCATTATTCACAAGGGGGTTGTTGAATCCTGTAAACCAGCTGGATCATCTCATGAACACTTGGCTTAAAAACCTAGAGGACAAATGTCAAAAGAGAAAAGCAATATATCAAAACAGAAATTAAGAACACACTTCTTCTATTAATCAAAATAAGAAAAAGCCTTGTGTAGTCTGACAGATTATCTCTGACTGAACTTAATCCATCAAAATTATCTCTTGAAACTCCCTCCTCCCTCAAAATCGTGGTAATGGTTTAGCAGTCTCACATTTTCCAAGCTTTGAACACTTACTTTTTTCCCTGCTGAGCAGCTTTCTGATACTTTTTGCAGTCTATACATTATCACAGCTCTTATGTTATTGTAACACAAAATCACATATCAAAAATTGAAATTAAATTTATATCTGCGTGAGAACACTATGCTATAGAATTTTCACGAGCTAAATCCATCCATCTACTCATGATGTCATGACCTTTCTTCTTGTAATACACAATATTTTCTGACTTCACCACTACCATCACAACTAAACAGCGATCCACCCCAAGTAAGTGCTAGATTTTATTTTTTTTTTCAGCTGGGGAAAGCAGAACATGCAACCAATTATTCTTGGTATATTCATGATATGAACAGAATATAAGGAAAACACCATGTATATTCGAGAACCAGGGACAGGTTGCAGTTGCTTGGACTGGTTTACAGGCTGAAGGAACCAGGATAAAGAAGTAACAAGCCCTCTTCTAACAAAAAGAAAAGCCATTGAGTTTCAGTTTCTGCAAGATGTAAGTTATTAAAAAACGTTCTGTTTGCAGCTGTCTTATTGGCATCACCTGTAATTCTGCAAAATTAGTTTCAGTTTTGCAGTCTGCAAAGCAAAACCCATGCTTTCACTGTCTGGCCTATATAGATCTTTCTTGGCAGACACAGTAGCTTATGGTTTATCTTATTTATGTTATACAGTGTAGCAACATTTAGCAGTTGCAAAAAAAACCTCACGGCTCAATGTGCTGCATGAATGCCTGCTTACCTTCATTAAGCTGCAAGTTAATGCAGTTTCCCAAAATTACAGGGTCCAAAAAGTGAAGAAATTGCAATGAATGATCAGAAAGGCAGAGGATAGAGCAATAGTAATTTCTGTGATGAGTGGCCATAGGGGCCTGAAAAGGGTGCCAAGCCAAGCCAGCAGAAAACTGTGGGCACATCTATACTGCTTAATAGAGGAGGGACAGAGAGTGGGTTCAGGCACACACTCCTGCTTGGGGACTTTGACCACCTGCACTGTTTAATTCAAGCATCTCTTCACCAGACCCACCTGCTGTTAGAGGTTAGGTTAGAAAATTTAGGTGCCAGTCAGTTGGTGTCACTTAACCTCAGATCTAGTTAAATAAGACCTTTAATTTAATAGTTTGGTAGTAGCCTGTAAGCAGTGTAACAGGTCAGTCCTTCAGAGAGCCCTCAGTGCTGGTTAACTTTAGCTGAAAATAACCATCCCGACAAAAGCTGATCTCTGACAGAAGCTCTCACTGAATAACTTGCTAGACCTTCCACAGAATAGCTATTGATGGTTCTTGAGACCTGGCAAAGGTGAAGTCTGCTGAAGGCTGTAGTGCAGGAGAGAGCTGCTCAACCTTAAAAGTAAACTGAGTACAGATCCAGAAAAAGGACAGCTACAGCAGCAAGAAACTCAGTGGGGGCTTATTTCTGTTGTTTCTTGATCTGATCAGTTTGACATAGTGCTTCAAATGTCAGCTAAATATGTTCAGAAGCAGTGAAAGTCAGTATCAAACAAGTGATGTTAACTGATGTTGCCAGCCTTTCAGGAGCTTCTAGCTGAGCTGTTGGAAGCCCAGAAAAAGGCTCCAGAAAATAGGAGTTGCAGAGAAGTCAGAGATGTGTTCCTAATATATCATGCACATGACACAGAGCATACATGTTCCAAGTAATGAGCACATCCCATGATCACAACTGCTAAAAACCCTTTGAGCCAAATGCTGTATCAAGAATGAAACTAACTCTTCAGTTTTAAGGGGAACTTCAAAAAAACCACTCACTAACACAAAGATCTTGGAAAGAAAACAAACCTTAATGCTGTCTATTTCAACTGTTCTATCTGTGACTTCCCAGAGTAAATACCTATTCATGAACTCTATTGCCTCAAAAATCCTTCTCAAGTGGGATCCCTTTGTGCCTCACAACCCTAAACTTCCCGAAACAAACAATATTTTTATCTATATCAAAGTATCTACAGAGCTCTAATCTGCTCTGCAGAAAAATGCATGCACAGATGCTGCAGTATGCAAAACAGTGTCAGGATTCATGGCCTGGCTAAAGGCAAATTTCATTCACTTATGAAACACTACCATCAGAAAAGCACAAGCTTCTCTCAAATCTAGGCACATCTTGAATAGGGGTCAAAAGGCACCAGACTTTGTGGTTAGGTGCCTACAAGAGACCTCCAAACTGGGGAAGTCTCCTTGGCATGGTATTTCAGTGAGGAAGATGCCCATCATAAGGAGTAAAAGAACAATGTGATGGTTCCCTAGTGTCATCTGCAGGGGAGGAAGAGCCATGCAAAACACACAAGACTGTTGTTGCAAGTCATTCTCGAGGGCAAATAGCTTCTTGGGGAAATGTAGAGTACAGAAAAACCTCCTTCCAACATTGCCTTTCCTTTTGCCGAAGCCTTCTGGGGTCCTAATCATGAGTTCCCTGTTCAGAAAGGCCTGGGCTAGCAGAAATTCCTGCTTTGAGTCATCCCTACTTGTCATGCTTTGCTTTTTAAATGCCCTGGTTAAGTAATTTGCAACCAAAATGTAGCATTTCAATGTACTTTAACTCTCCCATTATTGCATCTACTTGGGTTTAGTTAATGTTATATTTCTATTTTCATCTTGTTCAGGGTAACTTTATGTCCTTCCCACATTGCGACCACAGTCTCTGGCTGTCTCTTGCGGTTTAACATGAAAATGTCAAAAATCAAGTGAGAAAGTAATCTTTATGAGGATTTGGATTAGATTCCCCTTACATTTTATGAGTGTCTTCCTTTGAATGTCAGATTTCCAACACAATTCAAATCAGTAGAGCTTGCATGGATTCTCTGCAATAGAAAATTTGCTGTAGGATAATTTCAAAACATCAACCCTCAGCTAAGGTTTCATATACATAATTTATAAATATATAGTTGTAAATATATAGTATAATATGTTGTAAATATATAGTATATACATAAATATCCCTGTTAGAAAGATGTGGTTTTGGCTTTCTTTTGAGGAGAACTATATTTAACTATGACAGACAAATGGACATACAGGTAGACTGAAACAAAAACTCAATATGGATTCTTCAAGTGAGAAGATCCAGTCTTAGTGCCAGTTACATCAGTCCTCAAGCTTCTGACATAGAAAGAGAAATATTAAGCTTTTCTACTTGACTCATTTCCAAAACATCTAGTGGATGGACATATTTTAATTTTATATTAGGTATGAAAAGCACCTCCAGCCTTTGGAATAACCCTCGCTAAATCCAGGTAGGATTTTTTTGCTTCTCTTCATACTCACTGACTCATGGCACTCTGCACAGAAAGCTCACTTGGAAGAGTAACAACAGAGATGTGTCTACTTTCTTTATAGGGGACTACTAAATAAAACTAATATGTTTCCTCTCTTACATCTATTCTCTTCCTGTTGTCGATGTCAAGTGCACCTGTGACAAAGACTCAAAAGCCTGTGAGCCAAATGAAAACCAGAATAACCATTTTACTAAAAGTGTTGGGATTTGTTTTGTGATTTGAGATGGGAAAGTAATTCTCAAAACATATCATCCAGCAGAAAGCCTTCCAAAACCTGTTCTGTTCCATAATTTTTATTTTGCTACCTGCCAAAAAACTATTGTGTAAAATAAAAAGATCTTATTTAATAAATTCTTTAATACTACTACACTTTTGAAAAGTCATTCTTTCAGCTGAAGAATATTGGTTCGCATGTTTCAGATTACAGGAAAAACAAACTGTTATGCAATTTTGACTCAGTTGCAAATAAATTCAGAATGAAGTAAAATGAAAGCACAGATTTTATGGTAAGCATTTAGAGAAATACTAACAGTATTCAATCAACACAAATGTGGATGTATAACGTGGATTTTTTAAATCAGGTACATGTTTTGGAAAAAAGAATCCTTTTTTTTCCTTGCTCTGTATAATACTGTCATAAAGCAGTAACAAGAGCTAAAGAGTAAGATAGGTTATGTCTATCTACATTTAGCTAAAACTGGTGAAAACTTAGTGTGCAGTGTTCCTGCTGGCAATTCAGTCTCTCTTGAATTACTACTGAGATGAAAGAATATTAGAGAAGCACAGAAAACAGATACTTAATATCTATTGTGGACTGAGTACTAGGAGAAGGAGGAGCAAGGAGGGCAAGGAGCCAGGAGCCAGTCATCTTGATTTGTGGGAAAGCTGACAAATATTTTGATATTTAGATAGAGTAAGGGTTTTTAATATGAGGAACAAGAAGAAAAAGTGCCCTTTTGCAACGCATCTCAGTTATTGTTCCTAAAGCATCATTGATGCGATTCAGAGAAACACTTCTGCAAATGATCAAGTTCACCAAACTGAGGAATGTAAATGAGAACATCTCTGGTTGCGTGTCCTTAAACTGAACATGGGCTTTACCGAAAGAGGCTGCAGGTTTTGTCTGGATGGTTCTTTCTCACACTAGCAATAAACTTTCATGCAAATTTTAGCTTGTAGGGTTTCATCTCTACATCTCTAAAAGCCAAGGGTTTGGTTCACTCAGTCGAGATCTGAACCTAAGTCTTCTAAGAAACTTCTTTGTATTGGGCCTTCCCTGTTCTTTTTGCTGATTTTTTTTTCCTGTTGTTTTGTTCTGAGTATCATTATTGCAAAGATCAGAACCTGTTGCTGAGCCTGTAGTTATGTTATCACAAAGGCAATATTTCTCACAGGGCTTTAGCTTATTTCCTTTTAAGAATAAATACATTTGGGAAATGCAGCCTCTAACCTCCATGAACTTGTGTGTACCAGTATTTCTGAGCAATCAAAGCAATTTTGATAACATATAACTAGCTGCAATATTCTTGAACTTCTTTGTCATTTAGCTTTAGAAAAATAAAACTGCTCTATATTTCTTATTTTTCACCAAAGATTATTCATATAAAGGACATAAGAAAACTATGCATACCTTCACTGTAAAATATGGCATATTTTTTACAATGAAAGAGTTACATTATAATCACTATGTTAATCAAAAACTCTTGCGGAGACAAACTTCTGTCTTTATTTTAGTACGACTAGTCAAAGTAAACCCCATGGTGGTTATAGCTCTGACCTCAAATAGTTAGGGCAAGGTAGAACAAGAGTGTCTTCTCTCCACAAGGATTTCACATTGAGAGGTTAAAAAACCATATACCAATCTAGACAAAAGCAACTTTATTCAAAAGTGAAGAGAAATAATCCTATCATTTCTGCCTATTAGAGAGTGCTTCTCTTCTATGGCCTGAGAGAGTGCAAGTGTGCAGTTTCCAAGATTCAACCATAGAAGGCTTACTAAGCGTGAAATCTAAATATACAGGTGAGAGACAAAGAAACAGCACAAGGAAACGCTGTACTGTTTCTCCAGAACTAGCTAAGTAGTAACATTAACTGTCCATAGCTACCTTTACATTTCCTGTGTCATTCCTGGACAATGCAGTTTTGCTGACAGTTGAATTTTGCTTCACTTGAACCTTCACCTTTGCTAACCATGAATTAGCTAAGCCAGGATTCTGTGCTGGTGTTTGCAACATTCACCCTAATTTAGATAAGGTTTGCATAAACACAGCCACTATCTTCTCTGTCAATAACCCTGTTCAGAGTGAAACTAGTCAATGTGGTCTTTAAAAAGTTCATTTCTGCAGTAGTCAAGTTTATGGAAATAGTAAGGCTGTGGGCCAGTATTGACAGAAACCTCACAGTATCTGAAGTGTCATTCTATGACTTTATGTGCTAGGTACATTACAAAATGAAGCAGTTTGCAGTTTTCTTTATTGGTGTGCAAGATAGTCAGCTTTTTAAAATTCCGTGAGCAAAACATTAGGTCAATTGAAACCCAACCTGAGTAACTCCACTGATAGATTTTCTAGGCTGGTTTAAACTTCTGTCAGAGTAAGCATCTTAAACTGGATTTAAAGAGCTAGAATATTATATATATGTTGATCTTTCCTACATGCACAGAATTTATAAGCTTATTTTTTTCAAGTCTGATATTTTAAAATAGATTAGCAAAGCTAGGGCAACCCCTTTTAATAATTCAAGACAAC